GCTGGATGTAGTGGTGCACATCTGTAATCCCAGCTACTTACAAGGCTGGGAGAGCAGGACAGTAAGCTCAAAGCAGACTGGGCAACTTAGCAAGACTTTGCCTCAAAATAAATTTTTAAAAAGGACGGAGACATATCTCAGTGGTAGAGTTCTTGCTTAGTATGCATGAGGCCCTGAGTTCAATCACCATTATTGCAAAACAAAAATAAACAAACAAAACTATGATCCAGCCACTTCTGGGTAAAACACTAAAAACAAGATCTTGAGATGTTTGTATACCCACATCAATCAGCTTCATTTACAATAGCCAAGAGTTGGAAGCAACTAATCCGTCAAATGAATAAAGAAAATGTAATATATACCTACAACAGAATGTTACTGAGCCTTTAAAAAGAAGACAGCCCTCTTTTGTGCTACAGCATGGATGAATCTTAATGACAAATGCATATTTCAAAAAATAAATGACGTATCTAAAAAAAGTCAAAGTCTTTAAATCATAAAGTGAGAATGGTAGTTGTCAGGAGCAAAGAGTGAGAGAAAGGGAATTGACCTGTGGGTATCGAGTTTTAGGTTAGCAAGCTGAAAAATTTCTGGAAATTTGTTGTACAATTAAATACACTGAGTTAATACTAAAATGAACTGCACACTTATAAATGTTAATGGACTAGCGATGAAGTTCAGTGCTACAGGACTTGCTTAGCATACACAAGGCCCTGAGTTTGATTCCAGCACCACAAAAGAAAAACAGAAGAATTAAGATAATAAATTTTATGTATTTTTACCACAATAAAAGAAAGGAATTATATAATAATGGTCATGGTAGCCTTTTTAAAAATAATTACCAGAAACTAAAAACAACTGAAATTGCAGAACAGATTTTAAAAACTGGGATCTGCTCATATAGAATACTAGTCAGCAATAAAAAGGAATATTCTAACATATAAACAGTATCACAGATGAATATAAATGACAGACTATTGTTATATCTTCATTTGTGAAGTATCTATGTCTGTTGTCTATTTTTAAATCAGGTTGTCTTTTACTATTAATTTTTCAGGATCCTTTATATGTCCTGCATATAAATTCTTTGTTAAATATACTTACTAAACATATTTTCCTCCTTCGATAACTCAGCTGGTAGAGCAGAGGACTGTAGACCCAATAAACATATTTTCCTACAGCACTGTTTATCAGTACTGTATTCTTTAAAAACATGTTGTGAAAAAGAATCTATTTCCAAAATCAAACACAGTCCTTTTCCATTAAGTTCTGAGATAGACAAAACTAAACTATGGTGACAGAAATATGTACAATGTTTGCAGCAGAAGGGAGAGGATGACTGGAAAGCTTACCCTGGTGATGAGAATATTTTGTATCTGGAATGGGGTAGCAGTTACAAAAGATTATAATATCTGTGCAATTACATGTATGTAAATAATACCCCAATTAATAAAAGAAAAAATTATGGTGGCATTCTGACACCACTAAAAAGTGATTTTCGTCTGGTTATAATAATATCAACAATCTTACAAACAATCACCTTTTAATTACCTTCTAGGCAGATGCAAATTCCCCCCAGCAATGTCTACACCTCATACTACACATATTCACTAGAAGGCGAGTGCTAACATAGAAAACTTTAAGCCTAAAATATCTATCACTGTCAAGGTCAAATCTTCTACTTCTAAATATTTAAGAGGGTTTCACAGAAGTAGTATTAAACAGCCAAACATTCCTTATTTCATTTTTTATCTAAATAAAGAGAACATAATTCTGAAACTATACAATGTCAAAATACAACATATGTGTGAACCAGCTGTTATAAGAAGATAATACCATTTGTTCCCTAAACTACTTCACAGGAATGTCCTGAAGATTAATGAGACAATGGATCAGATCCTTTTCAGTGAGTAAACTACTTGCTGTAGGTAATTTGGGTATTTTAGAGTACAGCAAAGCCATCAGACACTAGGTTACGATTATTACACTAAGACAAAATTGTAGACTTAGAAATTTATATTCTCATAATCAAGTTTTTATATATTTAGAATGGTGCTTTCTGAAGCACAATTTATACATAAAATACATTTTAATTCCTATAAAAATCAGTATTTATGAGTTAAATAATAAGCACTTCCTTCCATTTAGCATTTAAGAAGTTATTATTATCCTAGGCATCTAAGAATGAAGAAGTAAAAGATACAGTGACTGCCCTCAAAACCTCACAGTTTAGTGAAGAAAACATATAAATAAATTTGAATGCAATATGACAATGCTTTTTATAAACTCCTATGTAATTGGTATTACAGAAATACTGGGCTAGGCACCTAATCCAGAAGGGGTGGAGAACTGCAAAGCCAGTGGATGGACATCAGAGAAGGCCTCTGGGAAGCAGTGGCCCCTGAACAGACTAACCCTAGAAAGTTGTGGCAAAGGTCAGAGGGCAAGGCCTGGAGGCTGCACAGAGTTCTAAAGCTGGGCCAACAGATAACAAAAAATAGATGCACCTTGACACCAAGGTTAAGTTAAATAAATCAGCTTAAATGTCCCATGGTTTCTCTTAGAAACTCAAACTATAAATAAAGGGCAAAATAAAAGATAGATAATAGGAAAAAGGGAGATAGATCTTTTGCAAAAGGGAAGGGGACCAAGAGATGAAGAGAGGTTTGTGGGGACAGGAAGAGAAGGGGATTTTAAAAACCAATTAAGATGTGTTATGTACATGTACCAACTCCTCATGAGGAATATAATCACTGTGTACTGCAAACATGTACTAATAAAAAGTAAAACAAGTTTTTTAAAAAGACAGCCAAGGAAGCACAGGTACTGCTGGAGGATTTTAGGGCCAAGGCACAGCAGGAGATGAAAACAGCCCCGTGAGGGCAGACTGGGAAGAACAACATAGTAAGCAATCAAATACATTTATCTGGAACTCTAGAGACTTAAGGACCAAATTTGGCAGCCAGCAACCTGAAGGAAATAACCGAAGTCATCACCCAAGAAGATCTGCAGTGTGCAAATGGAGAAGACCATTACAGAAATCCTGATAGTAGGTTCGACTGAAGAAAGGACAGGGAAGAGAAATCTGGGCAGGGGCAATCAGGTAGTAAAAAACAATTCCAGTAGAAAGTGTCATGAAATCTACACAAGCAAAGAGCAGGAAGGAATAACCCACAGTGACAAGTCAAGGAACACAAAGCCACAGTGGTGTTTGCCTTTAATCATTTGTAAGGTCTCAGAAGACTTCAGCAAGAGTGGTTTCTGAGATAACGAGAGTACCAGAGGAAGTGAAGCTCGCGCAGACTGTGGGTTTCAGTAACTGGCTGAAAAAGTGAAGGCAAGAAAAAGGAGCAGAGTTGGTAAGAGACTGGGGTTGAAAGACGGTTTTGAGAGGGTGGGGACAAATTTATTGTTATTTGTTTCTTCTATAATTTTTGTTCAGCTTCATTTTGAGAGATATCAGTGCTTATATATTAAGACAAAATAATTATAAATGGTAGGAGAAAATTTTAAAACTAGGAAATAACTGGTAAAAAGACCAAAAAGGAGCAAAGGACAAGATAGAAAAATGATTAAGTGGTATCTGCAGGGTAGGTATAATGTCCAGAAGAATTATTCTTCCACTGAGAAAGAAGAAAATGTCCTGCAGGCAGATTTGTATTACCAAACAGTTTATAGGTGGTGGGAGGGAAGCTGAGGGAATTCATTTTCCCATTTTGGTACCACGAGAGAGAGCTTTTATCTGTTGAACCAAGAGAGCTAGGGTGGCTTTTGGTTTCCCAAATATTTCGTTAAGGAAAGAAAGCTAAACTTTATCCATCTAAAATAAATATAAAAGAGTTAAGCAGCTACACATTTCAGATAGTCCACTGAATTATTTGCAATGACACAAAGATGAATCACATCTGTTTAAAATGAACTTCATTTTACCAAGACTAGTCCTTTTCATTCATGCAGATTATGACATTTAGTTGTTAATCAACGATAAGCAATAAACCTGATATATAATAATATAGTAGCAAGAAAAATTTATTAGAAAACAAAAAATTGAAAGCTAGCTTTAAAAAAATCACACCAATTTAGCACTCACAAGGCCCTGGGTTCTCTCTAGCACTGAGAAATCAAAAACAAAAACAACAACAATACACACACAATTAAGAATTCCTTATGGAATTTTTAGAAATTTTCAGAAGAAATCCATCACTAATGAATATCACATAAAACACTTTTCTACAGGTATACTACTCCAAAAGATATTAAAATGTATAGTTTGTAAAATTTTTAATATAAGAATAGGCCTAAGAGAAATAAGAAAATAGGGAATAAATTTATTATTTATTCCACAAAACCTATTAAAGTGAAATTATTATTCTTAAATGAAATAAGTATTCACATAGAAATCTATATATACACATATCTATAAAAAGTACTTCAAGTATGTTTTAAAAGTTGTTCATGGCTACAGCAATCCTCTTCCCTACCCTTACCACAACGGATCGAAAACCAGTTAAAAAGATGTTTTCCTCTTCCAGCCACAAAGAAATCAGGAAACAGAAAAAAAGAAAAAGGGTTTCAGTCTCTTCTAAGCTATGCTGTCTTTCAGAGGGCTGATGAATGCCAGTCCTTCCCCTGGGCACCCAATCCACACCAGCTGTGACTTTAGACCACACTTAGCCCCCAACAAATTCTTTCTGGGTCAAAAAAGGAGGGCCCCCAGTCTGATGGTGCAGAGGACACAGAAAAAGAAGCCACCTCCACAGGCCTCCAAACCTGCACTGGAGAAGAAAACTCATTCCCAGCTCAGCAGCCACAGCAGCCAGACAGACCACCAGACATCCTCTCTCCCTCTCTGTCTCCAGAAAGCCAACTCTGCATAATACCCCAAACAGCAAAATATCAGTTAAATATTAGTCATTAAAAAAATGGAGATTTTAAAATAAGAAAATTCACTCTGTAAAATGCTTACCCTTTTGTATAACTAGATTTTTGGAGAAACTTACTGTTGATGTGATCGATGTAGTAGACACCAATTTGAGGGTCAAACCCTGCTTCCCATCCCCATGGCAGCTCATCCCCAACACAGTCAGCAAAGGACAGGGGCTTTGTTAACCTACAACAACAGAACAAATACACAGTGACTATTTTTTTTGTCAAACCACACATGTCAAAATTCAGCACATTCACTACAAATTAAATATCTGGTATGATTTCTCTTTTGTTCTTGTTTCCAGAACTTGCACCTTTGCAATTGAAATATTAAAGAAAAAACCAGGATAAAATACAGAAGGGAATATTTAAAAAGAACAAGTCATTCCTTATATCCTTTTGAGAGATCACAGTTTAAGACTGGAGATAAAACTCTACGATGAATAAATCAAGCCACTTTAAATCAGAGAACCCCAAGCTGCAAGTAAGGAGGCCTAAAATCCAGTCTAACTCTGCAGAAAATTATTATCCCATTAAAAATAAATATCTGAAAAAAAAAAAAATAAATATCTGCCCAGGATTCAAATATTGGCATTACAGAAATGATATTAGTACCCCTAAAATAAGAATATGCATCAAGCTACACTAATTTCAGATTTGGGTGCTCTGATACAAATTAACTAAACTCTCAACTATGAGGTTTGATATGGGTTTTCCTTGAAAGGAAGGCCAAACATGACATTTTTTATATGTATCTTGTACTTAACAGTCACTCAAAAATTTTAATGGAACAAAACACAAAGTATTCATATATCAATATGATATTACCTTTTGAAACTTTCTTACATTTCTCTTAAACACATTTTTCTTTAAAACTAAACTTTTTTGTTTTCTTTTTTTTGAGATAGGCTGACCTTGAACTCTATATAGCCCAGGATGGTCTGGAACTCACAGCAATCCTCCTGCCTCAGCCTCCCAAGTGCTAGGATTATAGGCATGCACCACCACGCCTGGCTAAAACTAATTTCTTTAAGATTCCTTAAAACTAACAAGGAAATTACATAGTTTCCTAAGCAAGTAAAGTACCGGCTTCAGACATAATTACAGATTTATTTTTCCCTCATTCATTTTCACTTTTGGAATTTTCCTTGGTTATTGGAGCAGCCATGGCAAGTTAACATTACAGATTAGTGAATGCCTTGTTGTAGGGTGGCCACCATCAATCAGCATGCCTTCTAATTTAATATGCTGCCATGACTAGCCCGGTTCTTACATACAAAAGCTCCTGTAATCCCTTTTATCCATATTAATGAATATCAAAGGTCTCAATGCACACCTGAAATATAGGTCATTTCTAGAATTGCATCATTCATCAGAATAACAAATATGTCATTTACCCACCAGAACCCTGGGAGTGTAACATGAAAAGGATCCCAGACCTGTCCCACAACATCCTTCCTTCCAAGAACAGAAAACACCAACAAATGAAAGGAAGGGTGTGCTTGTCTCTCAGCCTTCCCATAGCATGAAATTCCCTTCTGGAGATGACTCCAAAGACACTGGCCTTCGAAACCAGCTCAGCCGGCAGAAGCCATGATAAGGGCAAACAGCTCCTGCCACTGATACACTGGGAGACCTTTTAAGGGAACACCTCTGTACTTCAGCTTCCTTCTCTTGAGTGGTGAAAACACCCCCTCTCCACACACACACATTTATCCTTTCCCTACAATTTGACTATCTCCTAAGATAATATGAAGATAAAGAAATAACTTCAAGCAGTGTCAAGAACATGGTAAGCAGTCACTAAATGTTAGTGATTGTCAACATAACATGGCATGTGAAGTTGTTATGTTTTAGATCTAAAATGGCCCCAGAGCCTCATGTGTTTAGAAGGTGATTGGTTTGTGGAGGTGTTATAGCCAACTTGGTGTTGGGAGGTGAGCTCTGTCAGAAAAGGCAGGTCACCGTGCGTGTGACCCGGAAGAGTATATCTCCCTTCCCAGTTTCTCTCTTGACTCCCTCTATTTCCTGGCTGCCCGTCAGTGATAACTTTCCTCTAAGCCAGGCCCTTCTACCATGCCACCAACCATGCAAGGATTGAAACTTCTAAAATGTGAATCAAAAACCTCTCCTTTAAGTCGTGAGTGTCGGGTACTTGTCTTAGCAATGAGAAAGTAAGATAGAAGTATCTCATTTATTCCTCAGAGAAACTAAGTCAGGCAGCATAGTATTAAGGAGCACCTCTCAAAACAGTCCTCAGAACCAGCAGCAGCACAACAGAAATGCAAATTCTTGGACCCTAAGGTAGACCTACAAAATCAGAAACTCTAGGGTCCAGCAACGTGTGCTCGCCAGACAACTCTGCTGCACACTGAAGTTTGGGAACCCCTGGGTTAGAAGTTAAGAATTTGAAATTTGGTACCAAAGAATGGGTTCAAATCCTTGTTTTGTACCATACTCACTGTATAACCTGGAGCAAGTTATTAACTTTAAAAACCCTGGTTCACTAATATAATTTGGGGCTGCAGAGATATTTTAAAGTTTAAAGGAGGACCAGACAACAAAGTGCCTGGCCATTGTAAGCTTTACTATATTAAATAAGTGAAAAGAATCTCAAAGATGTTAAGCAATGTGCCCAAATACAACAACTTGCCATATTTATTTTATGATCATGGAGTTCATTTGAACTCAATCTGAATAAAAAACAATGTACCTCTTAGAATTGTGCTCAAATTCCATCTCATATCATAAGCTGTTCAGGAAATCTGGTTTTTCTTTTGATAAAGGAATTAGATATCATATCAAAAAATCCCACACCAGAGGAAGTGGCCTTATCTACATGCACTGTCTCTAAGAATGTCTCTTTTACTATCTCCATAAAGCTGAAAAGATTAAGCTTCTGTGCCAGGTTACCCTGCACAGGATTCCCTTTGAGGACTCTTTCCCTATCTCCTTATCAATGATGTCATAAGGCACATACAACCTAAAGAAATTAAGCATGAGGAGATAGGAAAATGATAGGTGTAAGTGACAAAAGAGAGATCTTAAAGACAAATCTTATCTGCCATCAAATCAACATCTATAAGCCTGAGTTTGATATAAATATATTTATTATTCTTAGAAGTCCAGTAAGTTATAAAAGTTTCAAAGCATGTGCTATGAATACAAGTTATTGTAACTTGATTACATTTGGAAATAATTCCATTTTCCCATGAATTTGTCAGTAGATAATAAACAGTTAACCACCATTGCTATAAGACTAAAATTACATCTGCAAGTACAGGCATAATTATGAACTCAGTGACTGATTCAGAAGTTTCTATTGCTGAAAATTTCATACAAGTTTTTTTGCAGTGTTTTTTAAAAGTCAATTTAATACTTTATTTTCTGCATCTGGAAAACACATCTCTTTTCTGTCTTTTATCAGTAAAACCATTAAATATCAAAGTTTAGGACTAAACTCCTATCCAAATTAGAAAATATAAATAGAATAATATCTTCAGGTACCAAACAAACAAAATCAAGGAAGGGTCCAATTATACTGCTATCTTGATAAAGGGAAAATAACTATTATAAAAGCCTATAAATATACTCAATCCTCACCCTCACTGGGGGGAAAAAAAAGCCTTAAGCCTTTCCTCAAACCTCCTGGCTCCTCTTTGGACATTCACTTCTTAACCATCTGCTCATTCTAACCAGCAGAGGTTAAATCTAAAGGACTGTACGCAGCCCTATCAGAATCGCCCGTCTTCCACCTAACCTTAATTCTTCATGAATATACTTTTTTTTTCCTATTACACAATATCAATTATACATTTTAAAATTACAATATCAAGATCTAGGAGACATTACCACAGATTTTACAGAATTTAAAAGGATATAGAAAGCATATTTCAAAAATCTGTTTTGAAATAAATTTGACAACTTCTAAGAAGTACCTTGGAAGACAAATTAATGAAACTGACTCTGGAGGAAATATAAAATTTGAATAGCACCTATTAAAGAAAGTATATTCCTAGCTTGAAAACCTACCTATATGACAACAGCAGGCTCATAAACATTTTAACTGATAAATTATATCAAACATTTAAAGCAGAAAAAAGAAGGAACACTTCTCCCCTCATTTTAGGAACTCAACATTGTGCTAATCCTAAAACTGGATAAAGATAATAGAAGAAAAAAGCATGAACATAGATAGAAATTTGTTTAACAAAAGAAACTATTAGAAGTCAGATCTGGCAGTATGTCGAAAGTGGTTTTATTATAGGGATGGCAGTGTTGGTCTTCATGAATATACTCTTGACAGGCAATGTTTGTGAGTGATTCACCCTTGAAAGAGCACGCTGCTTAACACTGCTGGTTGTGAGACCCAAATATATTACTTAGAAAAACTGCACCGTTTACAATATTCTGTGTCCAAAAGGTCAATCTGTATGTATATTAATTACACTGGTAGTATAAAACATTTACCAACATTTATTATCACATATCATACATGTTTTAATATATGTATATGTGTGAATGAAAGCCTCCTAAAAATCTACAAAGTAGGTATAATTATTATCTCTATTGAAACAGCTTATGAGGGGAAGAAAACCTATTTGTAGTCAAATAAGCATGTGTTGAGGTAACACATACCTCTCTATAGTCAACATTTACACTAAAGGCAGTAGTAGCTGCATATTCTGCTGCCAAGGCTTTCATGCTTTCATAAACCTTCACAATGGATATTCTGAACAAGAATAAAACAAAGTCTAGTAACAAATAAAAGGCACCTATCAAAGGCATGCAATTCTTAAATATTTGACTAAACATACAAAGATGCTTTTCAAAAAAACTTACCCTTTTAAACATGATTTATAGTCTGAACACCTATTCCTAAGTAAAACTATATGACTTATGCATATATTTCTTAAACAGGAGGATATAAAATAATTTCATTTTAACTACTTATATTGTCTGCCTATTTAAATTATAAAAAACTTGATACTAAAAAGGCCAAAATTTTGGGTTATATTTCCCACAGAGATCTTTAACATAGAATCAACCTGAAAATATCGTTTAGAGTAGTGATTCTCAATTCTAAGGCTGTATCCAATTCAACTCAAAAGCTTATTAAAACAGATTGCTGAAGCTACTGCCAGTAGATTTGCAATTGGCCTGAGAATTTGCATTTTTAACAAA